TCAATTGGAGGTTTCCCGTATCCTCACACACTCCATACCTATAAACATAGTGATGATCATCCAACGGTTTCAACAACTGTTGCATTTTAGTTATTTGACCCCTAATCACCATGTTGTTTTTTCGTGTCTCACATTATATATTTGCTTAATATTTGAGAAATTTTTGTGTCTTTTTTGTTTCAAGGTTGCATGTATGCTTTTGGGCTAAATTATGTTTATTGTCATCTCAGTAGTAATTTTCTTCTCTTCTAAATCTAAACGACTAACAATCAGATAACCGACTAGCTTATGACTAAATCCATAATTATGAACACCATAAATAATACTAAATGTCTAAACATTATTCAGCTTATGATACTCACACAACTTAAAAAGACGTTTACATCTCCTTGTTCGTTGTCATCACATTTCAACATTCAGATAAGTTTTTTATACTGACCACTTCTCTCATATTTCATCGTCACAATTTTTTGTCTTTTATCAAAACTAGAATCAAACCTCCTGATTACTATCCCAATCACAACTTCTGCAATTATTCATTTAATCATATAATCATGTAAAATAAAATCCTATTTAATGTTAAATTCTTTTCCAACATCAACGTGTACAACACCGGATTGAAGATCTTATGTCAAACCATCCTCTGGTGCATTGGATTGGTTGAAAACATCATGATGTACCATACCTACAACCAATGAAAAATATGAGAACTTAAGCAACCATTTAAAACGTTTAGATGTTATAATCCAGAAGACTCCGAGTGTTACTATCTGAATGATTCTCATATTGATTACAAAAAACCATAAGAGTTATAGATGTGTATTACTATTAATTTAAGACAATTATGATGTTTCTGATGTCAAAATACAGTTGAATTGTGTTATCAAACAAAATTATTGAATAAGGAGGAAATAATTATTGATAGACTTTAAGGAAATATGTTACATGATCAAGCGTAAAAAGGTTTATAAAATTGTATTACTAAAAACTTGATGCTTCAGATGTTAAAATCTGGAAGAATTAGTTACATGTCTGAATGTTTAATTATAGACATTCCAAATAAACGATATGATGGGTGGTACACATAGTGTGTCCAAATTGCATTATCCGAATAAGAAATATTTTAAAAAATTTATAGTGTGGAAAAATCATTAATGATGAAATGAGCAACCACCTATATTTTAATTTATTTTAATGTTCAGTGGATCAAACCATATTAAAACTGAAACAACACTAAATTCATAATTACCATCACCTTTAATATCTACAATTCGATCAATGTATTTGTCAATAAAAATAAACATTTTCCCAATGTGTTTCATGTTTGGTAAAGATGGGAAGACGAGGGTTTGCTGATGCGAGAAACCTTAATAATAGAACTTTTTGGATTATGAAAAAAGAAGAATCTAGAGGAAGTGAGTCAATATTATTAAAATATGACGGTAACCGCTTGGTAGAACTACCATTATGAGTTGGTTTGATTTTCTTAGGAGCACCCTTAGTTTTTATTGATTCTGCGAGTGATTTCATATCAGTTATTTATAGATAGACTATCTTGCACATATGCTCTTTGATATGCTACTTCATGTTATAATCAACTTTCAAAAATCTATATTAAATCACCTATCATTCATCATAATAGAGATATTTGATTACCATCCTTAGTTATACCATCATCATCGTCGTTGTCATCATCATCACCACCATCATTATTATTATCTGGACCTTTTTTCTATGTTGGCACAACTTCATGATAGATAAAGTTCAATTCTGCTAGAGATATATTACCAACAAACTATGAATAGATATTTTTGTCCTTCAATTTATGTTATAATATTGTGATGTTTGCACCAAATTCTTTATGTATATTGTTATGATGCATTTCAATCATTTAGTTCATTGATTCCTAACCCTTGCAAAAATCACCATTAAAATCTCTCAACAATTTCTTCAATCTTTTATAAGCATATTCAACTCTATTAATTGTGGTGTTTTCAATGTGATTAATTTAATTAGTCTATGCACACAAAAATTTCTCCTCCACTGGATCTAATATTATAGTTTCGACATATTTCAAAAACTTTGGATATTTCACTCGCTCACTTCTGAATTGCATGACAGAATCAACATATGACTCCTCTGTAGAAAAACTGATTAACATTCCAACGTCCATTATGATTTCCAATATTTGAATAGGTTTGTACATTTTCCCGTCTTTATCCTTGATTTGTTTGTTTCCCAAAGTTCTCTTAATTATACCTCTCACTTTTTGTTGTATGATACCTACATAGTAAAATAAATGATGTAGAAAATACTTTTGCAACAAAATTCATCAATGAGGTATCGTGATTAATGTCAATCACTTATCATACATTTTTTGAGTCATTTTATATAATGTGACACATTTTTTAAGCCCGTGTATCATTATCCTTTTTTCCACATTCAAAAAATGAAAAGTCAATTGAATAAGTCATCTATGTAGAAGTAACACCAACAATTTCAAGAAAGTGAAGTTTGTACTTGTTAGTCTTTTATGTTTTATCAATTATCAATACAATAAAAAATGTGTTAATTAACTTGATGGATTCCCGATGCCTGCAAAATATATCATAAACAAACCTTCCATCCTCACGCTATTTCTTTTGAATAACTAGTTTGAAGGAAAAAATTATATGTCTGGATAACGCTATTTCCCTCCCTATTCAATAAGTTTGAGAAAAAGAGAACATTTGTTTTCCCTCTTGTGAAATAGATAAATTGAAAAATCCCTATATTCCTAGTGTTATTCATTCAAGTCAACTTCAATAATGATATCATACATTCCTCCAATTGGATTTTAGGCATACGAAGGGCACTCCTCTGCTTTATATTCTCACATTAATTTTGGTGAGTATGATATTCATTTTATTTTAATTTTTAAATCTCATATATTTTTTGGTTGATATCTCAATTTTTGATTGCTAGGTATATAATCTATTGCATGTTTATCATTTTTTATGATTTTAGAATTTTTAGGGTTTCGTTTCCCTTTACCTCTAACAGGTGAAAATCATCCAAATAACTTTATTTGTACAACCCATCTAAATAGTGTTATCCGAACATCATACATGTCTACTATATCACATATGTTGAAACAAAATAGTTTTTATGTTGTGTTAGGTTTTACTGATGTTGTGTTTGCCGAAAAATGACAGACAGACAATTGAGGCACAAACATGATCAAATATCTCAATATGCTTTAGTACGTAGAGAGAAAGATACATTTTCCTATGAAGTTGTCTACTCAATATTTTGAAAGCCATCCAATACAGATAATTTGTGAGAATCACTTGTGACATGTTTTCTTAGTCTTTTAACATATTTTAATACATTTTTAAAGCCCATGTAACATTATCCTCCTTTTAACATTCCAAGAATGTAAAGGCAACTTAATAAGTCATCTTTATAAATGTGACACCAAAAATTGAATAAAAGTGAAGTTTGTACTTGTTAGTATAATATACTGCATCAATTATCAATATAGTGGGAAATATGTTAAACAACTTGATGGATTCAGGATGCATGCAAAATATATCTCAAACATACTTTCCATCCTCACACACTCCATACCTATAAACATAGTGATGATCATCCAACGGTTTCAATAACCGTTGCATTTTAGTTATTTAACCCCTAATCACCATGTTGTTTTTCCGTGTCTCACATTATATACTTGCTTAATATTTGAGACATATTTGCATATATGTTTTTGGGCTAAACTATGTTTATTGTCATCTCAGTAGTAATTTTCTTCTCTTCTAAATCTAAACGACTAACAATCAGATAACCGACTAGCTTATGACTAAATCCATAATTATGAACACCATAAATAATACTAAATGTCTAAACATTATTAAGTTTATGATACTCACAAACTTAAAAGGACGTTTACATCTCCTTGTGAGATGTCATCGCATTTCAACATTCAGATAAGTTTTTTATACTGACCACTTCTTTCACATTTTATCGTAACAATTTTTTGTCTTTTATCAAAACTAGAATCAAACCTCCTGATTACTATCCCAATCATAACTTCTGCACTTATTCATTTAAGCATATGATCATGTAAAATAAACTCCTATTTAATATTAAATTCTTTTCTAACATCAACGTGTACAACACCGGATTGAAGATCTTATGTCAAACCATCCTCTGGTGCATTGACTTGGTTGAAAACATCATGATGCACTATACCTACAACCAATGAAAAATATGAGAACTTAAGCAACCATTTAAAACGTTTAGATGTTATAATTTAGGAGGCTCTGAATGTTACTATCTGAATGATTCTGATAATGATTACAAAAAACATAAGAGTTATAAATGTGCATTACTATTAATTTAAGACAATTATGATGTTTCTGATGTCAAAATACAGATGAATCGTGTTATCAAACAAAATTACTAAATAAGGAGGAAATAATTATTGATCGACTTTAAGAAAATATGTTACATGATCAAACATAAAAAGGTTTATAAAATTGTATTATTAAAAACTTGATGCTTCAGATGTTAAAATCTGGAAGAATTAATTATCTGTCTGAATGTTTAATTATAGACATTCCAAATAAACGATATGATGGGTGGTACAGAGAGTGTGTCCAAATTGTATTATCCGAATAAGAAACATTTAAAAAAATTTCTAGTGTGGAAAAATCATTAATGATGAAATAAGCAACCACGTACATTTTATTTTATTTTAATGGTCGGTGGATCAAACCATATTAATACTCGTTAAAATTCTGTTATATAAAGTTATAATAATTTCTTGTACCAAAAAAGAAGTTATAATGATTTCCCCAAAGTAAAACATGCCATGTCATGTGATTATAGAGAGTAAAAAGAATAATACACGCGCACTTGCACAAACGAGAGAATGGTTGATAAGCTTACAAATTAATTGAAATTATTTTAACATTCTGTTAGAAAACAATAATAATCCAGAAAAAAGGAGAAAGAGGATGGCTGCAACAAGAGATCTAGAGCTTCTCATTCCAGTGTCCAACATCTCTAACAATGGAGCCTCTAAATCGTCGTCCAATTCTTCCTCCTCCGGCAACGCCACTCTCTCCCCCCAACATCACTCCGGTCAAGAGGTAACGTTTTTATATACGAATAGAGATCAAATTACATCGTGTAACAACGATTACTTATTTCCCGACGATTATTTCACTTTGTTTGACAAAATGAAATTTCTTTTTTCATTAATTTCAGGCATTTTCAAAAGTGATTCGAAGCTGGGCCTCAAAGAAATTTATGACAGGATGGTACATATAATTTGTTTATTTAAATTATAACACATTGTTTCATATGATTGAGATTTGCATGGTTAATGACATAGTGATTTAAACATTTGGAGTCCAAATGATTTATTACATGAAAAAATTTGTAAGAGTTTTCTAGTTTTTATTATATTCTTATCAGAAATAATGTAATATGTGCAGTGTTATTCTTCTTCCCATTGCAATAACATTCTATGTCACTTGGGGATTTGTTCGATTTGTTGATGGTTTCTTCTCCCCTATATATAATCATCTTGGGATCAACGTTTTTGGTAAGTTCTTGAATTATATTTCTTGCATTTTGATTTATGAATATCAATAATTCTTTTGTTATTAAATATCGCCTAAAGTTGTTCTCTGACATATTATTTAGGAATAAATATTGCGTAGCACAATTTTAACAATGCGGTATTAGTGATCAACAATGCAAAACTCATGTAGTCACTCATCACCACATCCCTTGCAAAAATCAAGTGGCATAGTTTCAATTGCAATAGACATTATTATCATGCCTTTTAATAAATTAATTTGATTAATTGGACAGGTCTTGGATTTGTTACATCCATAACTTTCATCTTCCTAGTTGGAATTTTCATGTCATCATGGTTAGGAGCTTCTGTTCTTACCCTAGGGGAATGGTTCATCAAGAAAATGCCTCTTGTAAGCTACATATATGCTGCCTCCAAGCAAATAAGTGGAGCAATATCACCAGGTATGTATTTATGAAGTATCGATTGACACAATTCTGACACTGACACGTTAATAAGAAGTGTTTGTGCTTTATTGTTGGGTGCTCTAAACTTTTGACGTGCTTGGCAGATCAAAGTTCTAATGCTTTCAAGGAAGTGGCCCTTATAAAACACCCTCGAATTGGAGAGTATGCATTGGGATTTATCACATCTTCAATAATATTAAGGAAGCCCAGAGATGAAGAAGAGCTTTATTGTGTTTATATTCCCACTAATCACTTGTATCTTGGAGATATTTTTCTCGTTAGTCCAAATGATATTTTGAGGCCTAATCTCTCTGTTCGCGAAGGAATAGGTACGTACACAAATTTCTTATCAGTAATACACTATTCGAATTCTTTTTACGTTAAGAATAGAGATTAAGCCATTAATAATCTTATCACTCGTCTATGCTAATGTATATGATTGTAACAATATATTTTATTGTGATACAGAAATTGTTATATCTGGTGGTATGTCAATACCTCAAGAATTGACTACAGGGGGTGGTCATGCCAAACATGCCTCAAGAATCCCTTCACAAGTAAAATGATGGGATAACTTATGAGCACAAGTGTGTGTTCATTTCAACGGCAGTTTCCTTGTTGATTTGAGTAAATAGAATTTTGTATTAATTCTAGGGTGACCTTTTTATTTGTTCAATTGCTCAATCATATGAATTATGACTAGTCAAAAAAGTTGTAGAAAGTGAAAACAAAAACCACGAGAAGTAATACACACAAAATTTATTTATTCAATTCGATTAAACTGATCAATTCTAAGGGGTGAAATAGTCCTCTGATCCGATATAATTCAAAAATTGCTATAAGATAATAGGAACTGATTTGTGCATCTGTCCGGCCTCGGACGTTGCTGCTTGTTATTGGTTGTTGAATATTTGAGTTTATTTTAATAGTAAGTGAGTAAATAAAAAATTACAAAATGACCGTAAACATATAAGATAAAATATGGGGAAAAATATGGCAAATGGAAATAGCATGGAAATAAAAATAGAAAGACAAATGTATAGTTATTAAGGATGAAAAATATAAAGAAAAATTACATAATTAATTAAAGATTTATAGATAAAGGGTTAATTATGTTTTTGATTTTATAAGTTATCAAATTTTATTTTTGATCTCTATAAAAAATATGTTATGTTTTAGTCCCTACAAAATTATTATGCACATAGTTTTAGTCTCTTTTGTTAAACTAATGTGTATTTTTGAATGATTATTTTGCAAGCATGTTAAGAACGTTATAAAAAATTTCTTGAAAGAAAAAAAACTCAAATTCTGACTTCTAAATCGAGATTCTCATTACTTTCATTAATATCTTTTGGAATTTAAAAAATTCGTATTTAATTCATCTCATTTTTAAAAATTCTAAAATTTGGTAAAGAAATATTTTATATCATTCCAAATGCGTATGCAAAAATTTATTAAAAAATTTCAAAGTTTAAGGGTAATTATACGGTTTTCAAAATTTTAGCAAATAACATAGACTAAAACTGCATGAAATTTTTTTTGTAATGACCAAAATATGTCATTTTTTTAATAGGAACTAAAAACGAAATTTGAGATATTTATATGAATCAAAAACATATTTAACCATTTTATAAACATGACACTTGTTGTTGTTAAATGTAAGTTTGTCATTTGCCTTTCATTTTATTTGAGTTGAAATGTATATAAATTGAAATTTCATTCAGTTAGAAATAAGATTAAATAAGTTTTTGGTCCCTCTAAATATCTCAAATTTCATTTTTAGTTCCTCTAAATTTTTCTTTTAAAGAATAGTCCTCCTAAAAATTAAATTTTAACTTTTGGTCCCTCAAGACAAAATCGTAGCTAAAATAGTCTCTAATTCCGTCGCTAAATAAAAATCATCGCTAAAATTGTCGCTAAGTTTTAAAAACTGTCGCTAAATTGCAGGAGAGACAAAAAGTTAAAATTTAATTTTTTTTAGGAGGACTATTCTTTCAAGGAAAATTTTAGAGAGACTAAAAACGAAATTTGAGATATTTAGACGGACCAAAAACTTATTTAACCCTTAGAAATATAATACACAGTTACAAAGTTTGTTGAGAATAGAAAAGTTAGTTATAATATCTCTCTCTATCTCTACAGTTCTTTCATCTTCTTTTTTCTCTTGTGCATCATGGAGTTTCACTATTAACTCCAATAATTGGTATGCATAGCTTCGGTTGTCGATCAAAGGGAAACATGAACGTACATTAGATGTGTACTTGATTTAGTTCATCAAATTCACACTGAATAGAAGATTAAAATTGAAGAGAATCATAATCTTGATTCTCATGTTTAGGGAAACACGAGTGACGTGAGAATTGAGCGATTTGCACAAGAACGAAGATAACTGGAGGAAACAATAACTTAAATACAAAGCTTCTAGTATTCGACAGAAATAATTAGAATCGATGATCAATTCATATGTGTGTGTTTTTTGGCACTCAAGATGTGCTTGAGCTCGCCAATGATGGCTATACGCTGGTTGCAGAAAACACAACAGAAGAACAAAGAAATGTGCAACATGAAACATGGAAGAAGGATCAGAAAGCATTATTTTATATCCATGAGTGTATGGATACTATCACAATAGAAAAATTGAGATTAAGCTATTGATTAACTTAACTCGCAAAAATAATAAGCAAGAGGCGCCAATGAACTTTATTGTTTCCAAAGGAATGGGAAAATATCGATAAAACCCAAAAAATAAAGATCTAAGTACGGGGTGGTTATGCAAGGGGGAGGTATTATCACCCCTCACATCTACGATACTTCGTATGAACGTCTTAAAATTGTGTGTTAGGCTAAAAGAGACTTTTGCAAAAAGATTGGGGATATGAGAAAAGAAGTATTTTTTTATTATTTTTGATTCACCAAGACTTCGAGAGCCTCGTGCCTACCTATCCTCCATGTGAATTGAAGAAGTCAGAACCCCGTAGTTCTTATAAAAAAGAACAAAATAGTGTTTGGTTGATTGATTTTAATGAAAAGGCATTTTGTCATTTTCAAGTGAAAAACTCAACTTATCACCCACAAGTATGAAAAAATGGACATTTGCGTCATCTAGATAAAGAACTTTAGCTTGGATAAAATCAACAAGCATGTCTCAATATTCAATTGAAATTTTTCAACATCTCTCAATCGTACTATGGGAACAAGAGATTTACATCACAACGAGATGATTACTTGTGTCTAAACTTTCCAAAAGGAGTTTGAAAAGAAAAAGGAGTGCAAGAGCACAAAATTGATTTGATGATGTTTGTGTTTTTTAGAGTTTATAAAATTATTTTGATATGCTTAAGTGTTTTAGTATTTATTGAGAAAAAAGTTTTGAAAATCACTTGACAAAGTCAATGTTTATTTCGAAAGTGGTTTTAAGTTTGAAACAAGAAAGTTTTGAAAAAAGAGAGAATATTTTGAAAATTTAAGAATGTGAGGAGATGAAGAGACTATCCTAAAGCATAAAATAAAGGACAAAAATAAATTATCTCATTGTAAGATAGCCATGAGAAAGCCTTTGTGTGTGCAAATGACCAGAATGAAGCAATTGACATTAGTCAAAATTAGTAATTTCTTTTCTTTAGATTAAGCCACAAGCTAGCAAGCACAGAGCTAGTGAATAACACAAGGTCCATAGAAAGATCACAAAGCCCAAAGTTCTCAGGATAAAGCCAGGTCTCAGATGAACCAACAAAGCATCAGTTGAAAATAACCAAATCAAAGCCAAGTTTTCAAATATTGGTCAATGTTGCATATGAATTTCCAAGGTCTCTGGCACAAACTTCAAGCATGGGATTAAGAATCCTATATCTAAATCCAAAAGTCAAACTCTAAGCAAATGATATAAACATCAAGTCCATGGTCCAAGATTAATTTTTTTTAGGGTTTTGATATTTATTAATGTCTTTGGTCTTTTAAAGGCAATAAAGCATAAGATAACAAAAAGTAAAAGCAAAATTAAAGATGACATGAATTTAAATGACTTGCAATATAAATGGCATAAAACTAAATGACATTAATGTAAAGTGCATACAGTAAAAGTTAGCACCATAATATGAAGTTAATATTAGTGTTAGAAGTTAATCAACTGGGTCGAGACGATTTAACACTATATTAAGCAATCATAATTGGACTTATGTAGAAGTCACAACTATCTGAGGCCGAGATATGAGAATGTATGTGTCATACATGTTAGGAAAATGACACAAGAAATCATTCTCCTAAAATATGTAACACAAATCAAAAACAAAAGATAGAAGAAGAAGAAGAAGAAGAAAAAGAAAGAGATTGAGAGTTGATCAAGCACATGAGCAAAGGGATTGGATCATTACTTCAATTCATCTTCTTCGTGATACCTTGAGACAAACTAATCATCAATCTAAAGTACCAAAAATGATCAAATGATCATTTAATGATAGATTTTAAATGAAAAAAGTTCATCAAGCACCAATCTAAAGTCCAATTGAACAAGATAAGCTTCAATCAACCAAAATTGATCAAGTTAACTAAAAGTCAGAACCACAAATCATCAAGAACAAACAAAATAATATTTAAACTGAATTAAAAATGATTTTAAATGGTTTAGTAATGGAAATAAAAGAAAAAAAATCCAAAAGATGCATCAAAACATCAAATAAAAAGCCACAAAATTTTGAAAAGGTAAAAAAAATCCAAGGATCAAGATCTCAAAAGTTGTACTAAAAAATATTTCAAAATGATGAAAAATAATTTGTTTAAAGTTAATTAAAAAGAAAATAAATATAAAATAACAATAAATTCTAAAAAAAGGTTTTAAAAATTGGAAAAGAATTATATAGAGTAGAAAATATTTTTTAGAAATTTATGGAAAAGAAATGAAGTGAAAAATGTTTTTGGAACTAATTTTTAAATTATTTTTAAAGAAAGTGAAATAAAAAGGAATTTAAAAAAATAAAAAAATAAATATAAACTGCAATGGCTAGGGAAGGCGTGGCGCAATCTAATTGGTTGGAGGATTTAATTTTTGCTCCCAAACGCACGAACACCTTCATCTTCAACCTCTGCCACCTTGATTTTGCAGATCAATAAACTAATTATTTTAAGCTTAAACAAGTACATTTTAGCTTTAACTAACATCATCGTTAATGTCTCTTTACTTCGAACAATTTATTTATTCTAAGAAAAGAGAATTTTGCAGAAAATACATATACCCTAGCTAACTTTAAAGTAAAACTAAATGATGAATAAATTAAAGGTGAGCGGGGGGTTTTAAATCAGTGAAACAAGACGAGGAGAGTGGTAACTCGTTTGAGTGGAATAGTAACTCGTAACTACTTTTCTAAACTAAGCTTCAAGGTTTGAAAAATGATGGATTTGAGATGAAGGTTGCAAGGCACGACAAGCTTCAGCAATGCTTCACACATCTTCAGAGAATGTCAGTGAGTGATTTTGGGAAAAGAAAAGAAGTTAAAACGAGCTTGAATTTAGAAACCAACTTCTATTTTTTAGAGGTATCGGATTGATATTTCTGCAGAGTTTCATAGGTTAT